CTTTCCTCTCCTCCTTTTCCTTTCACTTCTCATCTTATGTCATTTTATTTCTAAAATATTATATATTCAAAATATACTTAAGTCATGTTAAGGTTCAGAAACATGTGTACAGTGTCAGTATTTTAAAGGTATATAATTAAATCTCTTAAGCAATCAAATTTGTAAATATGATGTATTATAATTCAATACAGTTAATATTTTATGGATTTGAAGGACACTGCAATAAAATATTTCATTATTTAAGTGTTATTAGTTCTAAGTTTTCACTAGGTGGCAGACTAGATAATTCACTCAGTTTTTCAGTTTAAAGTAACATAAACGGAGTAGGTTCAGTTATTTAGAACAGAAATGACACATCACATAAATTTTGTTGTCCTATCTAATTTCAATTCTAGAAGTCACTTAAACACAGTGACTGGGTCACTGAAATATTTTATCACTGTCTCTTAACAAAGCCTCACATTTATCTGTCTACATATATGTACGGATAGAGGAGCCTGGTGGGCTACAGTCCATAGGATTGTAAAGAGTCAGACATAGCACACTGTATGTACATATTTGATGTATTTTGCTAGAAAAGGATTATAAAGAAAAAAATTCAAGTATTCAAAAATTTTTCTAAAATTCAAAAATAACATGTGAAAGAAAACAGTCATATTTCTCAGAGAAAATAAAAATTTCTAAAATATGAGATGCATTCTTTACTTGTTGAGAGTTTTGTTTCCTCAGAAATTCCTTCCCTGACCGTGCATCTCAACACCTTCCAAGATGTTCCTATTTAATTTGTGGACCACAGATTTCAGTCAGCCACTTTTAGCATCCTTAGAAAAATATATACATTCATATAATTTATGAACTTTTTGCAGTTTTTTTTCTGTTACATCGTAAAGTCTAAACCAAAGGCAGGGATTTCACATTATACTTTTTTTTTTTTTAACCTCTTGGAAACTAAAGTTTTCCAATAGCAAATACTTGATATTTACTAAATTAGATACTAAATATTGTCCTCAGTAAATTGAAACCACAGTAATGAAATTATGATCTACTATTGAGGGGTAGATACAGAAGTAGAGATTACAAAAGTTTAAATTAGAAACGCTGACATGTTGTTAGATATTCTTAATAATACTCCTTTTTATTTGTGTCATCTGAATTTCCTTTCCTACCCACCTATCTATTTATTGAAAGTAGCGGTAATCATAGAAGATCTCCATCTGGCAGGTGGTGATCCCCACATTAGGCAGAGCTGTGCAGGGCTGGTGCCTGGCAGAGAGAGGAGTCTGATCAGGGGCCCTGCTGGACAGTCATGGGCCCACCCCATATGGCTGAGCTCACCCCAAGGCCTGGCTCAACCAGCACAAACCCAGAGATACTGAGAAGGCAGAGTCAGGAGTGAGCTATAGGTCCCCATCTCCTCCCAGGGAATAGGAGGTGCAGACAGAAACACAGAAGAAGGAGGTCTCCACCTGATGTTCTGGAGATTGCATGAGTTAATGCACAGAAAGCTCTAAGAATAATGCCCTTTAAATTTTATGTGTTATTGAGTTTTGGACATTTTAACTTCCAAAAGAGTTTTTTAAAAACTGAACAAAGAGGAAAACCTTAGGTCAGTTAATTTTCCTTTTCAGAAGCTCATATCATGGGTATGCCATTTATTCTCTAAATGAGATTTCTGCTTTATCTGCACTGCCCATTTTGCTACTATTATGTATTCATTTTAGTTTCTGCTGTGTCAGATTATTGAATATTGTCTGTGACAGGCCATAACATGGAAAATATCTTTAGTCACATGGTTGTTTTAAAATATTTCTTAAATGAAGACTTTTGAAACTTCCAGATGGTATGAGATTTGTCAGTTGGTGGCATTTCCTAGGCTTACCAGATAGAGTGGTACCAGCCCAAAAGTCAATTGATATTTTTTGCCATCAGGCCACTCTTCTAATTTCTTAGGTTTCCCTGGTGGCTCAGATGGTAAAGAATCTGTATACAATGCAGGAGACCCAGTTTCAATCCCTGGGTCAGGAAGATCCCCAGAGAAGAGAATAGCACCCTACTCAGTATTCTTGCTTGAAGAATTCCATGGGCAGAGGAGCCTGGTGGGCTGCAATTCATGTGGTCACAAAGAGCCAGACATGACTGAGTGACTTTCACTTCCTAACTCACCCTTCTAATTTTTCAGAAGTGTCTGAAAAAATGAACTTTTTATCAAATGTATGCACGTTGGTGACTTTTGAGGGAGAAGAATAGAGCTTCTAAAAGAAAGTCATGTGGAATACAGATTATACAGTGTTTCCTCCAAAAACTGTGTGTGCATGCATGCTCAGTGGTGTCCGATTCTTTGCAACCCCATAGATTGTGGCCTACCAGGTTCCTCTGTCCATGGGATTCTCCAGGCAAGAATACTGGAGCGAATTGCCATCTCCTACTCCAGGGGATCTCCTTGACCTAGGGATCGAACCCATGTCTCTTGGCAAGTGGATTCTTTACTGCTGCACCACCCGGGAAACCCATACTTAATTTATCTGAACAAAATTTTTTCCAACCCAGTTTAATAATATTTGCTCTCAAAAGGGAGATGAGGCCATGAAATTCTGGTTATATTGCTTCTCACAAAGTGTAGATCTCATCAAACACCTAATGATACCATAATTTTTAAATGTTTTGATTAGGTAAGCATCAGTACTATTACAGCAATGTAACTATCAGGCGAGTGCATGCTCCTTGGTTCTGTCTCAACACAACAAAGATTTGGAGCAACGGACATTAAAACCCTTGGTGCCTCACAGCTCTCGGGTCTTGGACAGACCGTGTTATAGCTCTCAGGTCTCAAACAGACCGTGTTATAGCTCTTAGACAAATCAGTGTTACAGCTTCATGTTACAGCTCTATTTTATTTAGAAAATAGCAGGAGAATCCATCCCTGAGGCATGAGGTCATGCTGACCCAAAGGTGCGAACCAGCGTGGGGAGAGAGACCCCCGGCCCTTTGTCTCCTCTTTTTAAATGTTTTTTCTCCCCCTGGGCTTGCCCTATGTAAACTGGGCTAGCCAGGAGAATTGTTTGTTCTACCTGAGGTCCTCACTCCAGTCCTTGAGCCTTCCTTTGTTCTATGGACCTTGCTTTGTTCTATTTTCGTGGGCTTTTCCCTTCCTTATCTTTTAGCCACGACCATTCTGGACTCCTGTTTCCTATTCTAACTACCTAACATAACCAAGATGGCATATACTTTTCACAGATAACTCTGAAATTAAGCATTTTTAAGAGTTGTTTAGATCTTAAATGAGAGGATGATTAAGCCCAGTGGAAACTGACTTCAGGGCCTCTTGGGAAAATCCCAGCAAACCTGCAGGGAGCCCTCTCACTCCCAGAAGGAGGGAGACTTTCATTCTGGCAAAGCATCCATCACTTTTATGGAGTTAGATCTGAGGAGAGGGGTGATCTCATGGTCCTGGTGAAGGTCAGTTCCTCTCTAAGACATCAGATCAAGTTCTCAGGCACATGTGAGTAACAGTGCCCTCCCTCCTGGACCCAGCAGATAATGACAGTAAGATCAACTTTCCTGGTGATCCAATGGTTAAGACTTCAGCTTCCCCCCCCCCCCCCGCCCCCACAAAAAAAAAAAGACTTCACCTTCCAATGCACGGGATGTAGGTTCCATCCCTGGTCAGGGAGGTAGGATGCCACATGCTTCATGGCCAAAAGGCCAAAATGTAAATATTGCAACAAATTCAATAACAACTTTAAAAATGGACCACATAAAAAATAATCTTTAAAAAATAAAAGGTCAGCTGGAGATGACTTGTTTCTGAGCTACTAACCAGATGTTTTTATCCTGCATATTTCAATCAGTTCTAGAGCCTGAGGTCTAGGCAAGGGTGCAGCTACCAGCAGGAATTTTTTAAGTGGCCTTAAAAAGTGAAGTTGCTCAGTCGTGTCTGACTCTTTGTGACCCCATGGACTGTAGCCTGCCAGGCTTCTCCATCTATGGAATTTTCCAGGCAAGAGTACAGGAGTGGGCTGCCATCTCCTTTTCCAGGGGATCTTCCTGACCCAGGGATTGAACCCGGGTCTCCCACATTGCAGGCATACGCTTTACTGTCTGAACCACCAGGGAAGCCCCCATAGTTAAGTGGCCTTAACTAAGTTTAAACGCATATTGTATGGAGAACAAAACTGATTACCACTTGAAGCGGCTGCTACAGGGAATCTCAAAATATGTGACCCAGGAGAGCTACCAGTGATGTAGAGACATCAACTAAAGATCAGATCACCAACCACAGCAACAGTAAGGTGGTTGCTGTGGTTTTATCTTGCCCCATTTTTCTGGGGGGAAAAATCAAGTATGTGTGTGTGTGTGTGTGTGTGTGTGTGTGTGTGTCTGTGTGTACGTGCACATGTGCATGTGCATGTGTGGAGTGTGCAGGAGGAAGTAAATAGGAAGAAAGCTTATGTAAAACTCTAGGATGAGTGGAAATTTTCAGGATTCTTCTAGAACAACACTATCCATTGAGTCTTGTCCTAATTCATGACAATGAGTTGTTATTTCAATGACAATGTTTGCTTCATTGTAGTAAGATTTGACAATTAAAAGCACATACTGTGAGAACAGAGAGCCATAGGAAATCTTAGAACTCACATTATGGACAATAAGTTCATTGTGGGAAATTTTTGCCAATCCACATATTCATCTTATAAATTTATATTTCATTATTTTCCCATGAGGTAACTTCTTCAATCAGCTTTATGAGTAGCAGGAAAATGCCTATTAGAAATCAAGTGACTGAATTTAGTTTTGTTACAGTGCTAAATGTTGGTTAAAATATTCTTTTGGAAAATAGCAATGCGTTTCTCTTCCACAAAACAGTTTATGTGGCATGACTTGCTCTTGCAACTGCATGTAGTTTAATGCCTGCAGCTAGGAATCACTCACTCCTAAACCTGTTGTTATAAAAGCACCATTTTGGATTGTTAGTGTAATGCAAATATTTCTTTGAAATGTAGGTTGTTTTCCAGTCTCAGTATTATCACAGAGCTCACCCACCCAGCCAACATGAGATTCATGCAATTCAGAGCCAAAGACTGTTACTCTCTTGCTCTTTCAAAGCTGGAAAAGGTAAGTCACCACATGATCAAGTAAGTTGCATTTAACTGTTTGGATTGAAAGACTAATTTGGGAAATTTTTTACATGTAGAAAGAAATGTCATGAAATATTAAAAATAAAAATGCTATTTTGAATTCTTATATGGGGGCTAAAATCTTAATTTATAAGATTTTTAAAGTGTATATTGATGGATGGAAATATCTCATTCTGCATCATTGATCACAAATTGAAAGCATGATTTATGAAAGAATTAAATGCACCTGGAAGATATACATACACACACACACACACACACACACACATATTATGTCTATTATTGATAATATCATTAGTGCTATGTCAAGATATCTATATTTGTAGTTTTCAAAAATCCTTTAAATCTTAGAAAACCCATGGGCTTTGTTGAAAATCAGTCCCCAAATGAGATAATCTGAGATACAATCTGAGACAAAGTCAAGTTTATTGCTTAGGTAAGTAAGGGAACCCTGAATACTCATTGGAAGACTGATACTGAAGCTGAAGCTCCAATATTTTGCCCACTTGATGCGAACAGCTGACTCATTGGAAAAGACCCTGATGCTGGGAAAGATTGAAGGCAGCAGAAGAGGGCAACAGAGGATGAGATGGCATCAGAGGATGAGAAGTTGGATAGCACCACTGATCCAATGAACATAAACTTGGGCAAACTCTGGGAGATAGTAGGGAACAGGGAAGTCTGGTGTGCTGCGGTCCATGGGATTGCAAAGAATTGGACATGACTTGGCGACTGAACAACAAAGTAAGGGAACTGTCACCTCAGGAGAGTTGTTTTTGTTTTGTTTATAAATATTTATTAAAATTGAAAGCTGTTTGCTCTTCTGTCCTATGAGCATCCATCCAGCTGCCTATCAACTGCTAAGATGCATGGCTGCTGTCATAAATGACCTTGAAATTTGTCAGGATAACCGATCATCTGCCTTTACTTAAAACCCCTTGAAACTTGCCTTGTGGTCAGCACCTGTCTTCACACTGTTATGTAAAAGGTGTCCAAAATTTGTGCCCCGAGTGAGCCATCCATGGGTAAAAACGTATGTGCTGTGTGCTAAGTTGCTTCATCATGTCTGACTCTTTGTGACCCTATGGACTCTAGCCCACCAGACTCCTTTGTTCATGGGATTCTCCAGACAAGAATACTGGAGTGGGTTCCATGCTTTCCTCCAGGGGATCTTCCTGACCCAGGGATGGAACCCCAACTCTTACATCTCTTGCATTGGCAGGCCAGTTCTTTATCACTAGTGCCACTTGGGAAGTCCCAAAAAACCTATACCTGTGGTCAAATAAACACTGGCCCTGACATGTCAAAGACTCAAAATCCGCCTGAGAAGAGTGGTTTTAAAATAGCCAAAGATGGATTTTCTCAGCACAAATCTAAATATGCCTGAAATCAGAGAGAGCTAATTAAGACTCAAGATAGCCTTATAGTGAGGGAAGGAAGGTCAAAGTCTATCAAGAACTGACATTTTATCAAATGAGGCTCTTCAGGTGGATTAGGATTGTGAGGATATGAGAATAATGATAAGAGAGACAGTGGCGTTATTGCACAGTCATGTTATGGGGATGGAAAGGCACGGTTTTCATCCTCAGTGTCCAGGCTGCCTGTTGAGATAAATGGATTTTTCATTCAATGTGTACTTAACACTAGCATGCTGGGAGAATCTGATGTAAGAGAAAAAATAAGATCCGGTCTTATACATGTGAAAATGTGTCAAATCTATGCCATCTTCATTGTTTGTAATAATATAAGGTAGAGAGAAGGATAACTTTTTATTTATTTATTTTGGTTAGTTTTTTCTTTCACTTTATTTCAATTCCCTGTTATGCCAAGCACTGTCTTGATCCCTGGGTGACATACAGTTGAGTGAGGGGGTCTTCTGGGCTCTTGTCTGGTGATTTCCATCTTCATTGCTGGTCACATACATTATGTTAGTAGAGTCTTAGCACTGCTTCTTTATAAGCACAGTTACACTGCTATTAGAGACTGCTTCCATATGAGGAAACTGAGTTTAAGACAGACTAAATCACAGTTTGTTTTTTCAAATCAGATAGCTATCAATGTTGTTGAACCCAATCGGCGAGCTGGAAGCACAGTGTGGCCAAAGGAACAGAAAGGTCAGAGTTTAGAGTGGAGAAAGTTTTACTGCAGGGCCATGCAGGAGAAAGGAGAGGCTCCTGCCCTAAAGACCTGAACTCGCTGATGGTTTTCTAGGGAGAGTTTTTATAGGCAAAATTGGGAGGGGGACTGCAGGCTGTGCGACTCTCCTCTGATTCGTTGGAGGCTGTGCTCCAGGAGTCTCAATGATCAACTTTCTGGTTCCAGCCAGTCTGGAGTCCAGGAGCTTTTGCTAAGTCTGAAGTTGCTGTCCTCTGCTAAAGTGGGGGCCTTAGTTCCTATGAAACTCAGAGATGTGGGTCAGAGTGTATGCACATCCCCCAAGGAGGAGCCCAGACCCGAACCCATAACTGTACTATCCTTTCCTTTCCCTTCTTTATTGAAGTATAGTTGATATGCAGTATGGTGATTCATATTTTTTTAAAGTTTATACAAACTAGTGAATATGAAAAAAAAAGAACACTAACAGATATGCAGAAGAAACTAGTGGCTGCCAGTGGGGCAAGGAAGGAGGGAGGGGCAATCTACAGGGGATTAAGAGGTAGAAACTGTTAGACATAAATAAGCTATAAGGATATATTGTGTAACATGGGAAAGACAGCCAATACTGTATAGTAACTATAAATGGATCACTTGTTTCTTTCTGCATTACCTGACTCCCCTAGTTAGTAACTGAATCTGCCCTTTGGAAATGGGGGAAGGTCTAGGAAACTGAAAAAAAAAAGGCAGGGCTGCTCAGTTTCATCTAGTTGGTGCACAAGAGAAACATAAAGCCTTTCATGTTCAGAAACTGTTCCTTGTGTCATACATGGCCTCAACACCAAGGGTAGAAATCAGAGCTGAATGGCTCAGCATCCACAGACAAACCCAGGAGTAAGCAGCCAGTGGAATGGATGCTGTCCTGCTGTGGCACGGTCTCCTTCATGACATGTAAGGGAGGATCTCCCCATGATAAAGCAGACAGGTTCTGCAGTCAGATCACCCATGGCTCTACTGCTGTCTAGGAATGGAACCTGAATAAAACATTGACACCTTCATAGCCCTTGGCAGTTGCTCTGGAAAATACTGATGATAGCCAAATGATAGGGTCATTGCAAAGACCACATCACACAATCTAGTCACAGTATTTAGCCCAGCTTGGGCATATAATCAGTGCTCAAATAGTCTCAGAAGCATAATTATAAATTAGTATTGTTGGCATCATCACTAATAAATATTCTATTGTTTTTGTATTCGGTCACTAAGTCATGTCCAACTCTTTGCAAACCCATAGACTGCAACACACCACACTTCCCTGTCCTTCACTATCTCCTGGAGTGTGCTCAAGCTCATGTCCATTGAATCGGTGATGCCATCCAACCATCTCATCCTCTGTCATCTTCTCCTTCTACCCTCAATCTTTCCCAGCATCAGGATCTTTTCTATGTGTATTTAATTTTATACCAGTTCAGTTGATACAGTAAGGTTATAATTGTGGAAGTTATATTCAATATTGGTTAATCTGTGTGTCTACACTGTTGTGTGTCAATTGTGTTAGCGGAAAAGAAGAACAAGATGAAATTTTGACCTGTGTTGGGGAATTAATTAAAAAGAAAAACTTTCCTCCAATCTAAAAGTCCTCTTCATTTATGTAGAAAAGTTTTGTTTGAATAAGCTTTAAATCAGATCATGTATGATATGTATTTCAGAAATCCACTAAAGAGATTACAAGGACAGAAAGACATCTCATCTGTTTAGGTAGCTGGGCAGATACAGTCATTTACATACTTGTTAATTGTCTTGATCCAAGGGGCAAATACATTTTCTTCTATCTTTGCAGAAACAAGAAGTTACAACTTGGAGCCTGGCATCTAGGCTAAACTCCCAAAGAGACAGACAGGGTACTTTATGTTCCCATTTCATAAAGATAGTTCCAAGGCCCTCAAGACATTCCTGGGATAAAAAACTGTCTGGAGGTTATTCATGTTTTCAAAGGCTTTGCATCTGTCTCTAAGAGACAAGGAAAGGATTTACAATTGCAAACTTTCTAAAAGAAAACTCTAAAAAAAAGAAAGGGAAGAAGACAGTTTTCTTTTTTGGCATTAAGGAATTCATTTATTTCTTGAGATTTATGTTTACCCTTGCATCTTCTTGGGTGCTTCCCTGGTGTCTCAGATGATAAAGAATCTGCCTGCAATGCAGGACACCTGGGTTCTCTCTCTGGTTTCAGAAGATACCCTGGAATGGGAAATGGCAATCCACTCCAGTATTCTTGCTTGAGACATCCCATACACAGAGGAGCCTGGTGAGCTGTGGGCCATGGGGTGTCCATGGAGTTGCAAAGAACAGACAGGACTGAGTTACTAACACTTTCACTGCACTTTCTTTCACTTGCATCTTCTAGATATTTTCCAAGAAGAATAAAAAATAACATATTACCAAATTATTAAGAATAGAGGTGTTAAGGGAAGTGGAATTGAAATCAATGTTATCAATGTTATAAAGCCATGGAAAATAAGTAAAAATTCAGTAACTGAATTTTAATTCAGTTACTCTCAGTTATATCTATTGAAATCAGATTGTCACATAGAAACATTTTAGGTTGCTTGCCTCATAGCTCAGTCGGTAAAGAATCCGCCTTCAGTGCAAGAGACCCAGGTTTGATTCCTGGGTCAGGAAGATCCCCTGGAGAAGGAAATGGCAACCCACTCCACTATTCTTACCTGGAGAATCCCGCGGACAGAGGAGTCTGGCAGGCTACAGTCCACGGGGATCTCAAGAGTCAGACATGACTTAGCTACTAAGCAACCACCACCACCATTATGGGTTGAATTGTGCCCCTCTGCCCCACCAAAAATGTGCTGGAGTCTTAGCCTCCACTAC